AAGCGAACGAACTTACGTCAGGTAGTAAAGTTTACTCATCCCCCGCCCAGTGCATGGAGGCTCAGCTATTTCCCTTGAGGGATCGACAGCAACCTGATACACTCACTTCTTCATTAGGACTAAGTCCCTGAGTCTTGCCAATGCTGTGTTTTAACGGGCTAGTGCTGGTGGTGGTTATAGTTGCTAAATCATGTCTGACTCCCGAGATCCAGTGGCCTGTAGCCCACCAGGCTCCTCCGTCCGTGGGATTTCCCAGGTGAGAGTAATGGAGTGGGTCGCCATTTCCTTCTCCAGGGGATCTTCCCAACCCCAGGGATTGAACTTGCATCTGCTGCATTGGCAGTCAGATACTTTACCGCTGAGCCACCAGGGAAGCCCCGTTCCACTAGTCCAGTATCTCAGGCCATCATCTCCTGACATGATTCCTGATGCAAGTCACGAGCTCAGATTGCATCACTTCTACTTTGATTTCACCTCCCTGTGCTTCGTCTCAGATCCATCCGTATTCCCACCCTACTGGATTCCAGGGCCCCTCATCTGCTGCCAGAGACTGCCCTTTGACCTGCTAGTCCAGGCTTCTTGGCATCTGTGGGTCAGTCTCCTTTCGACCAACTCCCAGTTATTTCTGCCCTCATCAGCATTAACAGAACCAATCCAAATATTGTGACAACCAAAAGTTGTATTTTGAAAAGAATTGGCTGGGGCAGTAGTAGCCCTGTCGAGAACCACAGGAAGTAGATGAAAGGGTATATCTTCAACGAGAACAGGCCAAGCATTTCAGAGCCTCGTTCTTTCCATTCCATTGACTCATAAATCTGCTTGTGTTAAAATCATCAAGGGTAACTTCTGATTTATCTATTTAATACATGCTTAGATACTGCTTAGTACATGCCTGAAACTGTTTTAAAAAAATACTCTACAACTATTAGCTCATTTAATCCCCACAACAACCATCTGAGGTAGGCATCATCATTACTCCCATTTTACAGATCAGGAAACTGGGACTTGGGAGTTTTAATGACTTACCCAAAGGTTCACATCTAATATATGTAGAGGCCGAAATGCAAACCCAGACATTCTGGTTACAGGATATATGGTAAGCACTTTTCTCTGCAAGAGACAATCATGTCCCATCCACAAAGAGTTGATTTACTAAATCTGGGGAAAGGATTGAGAAATCTATATGTAACTGAACAAACTTTCAGGTGGTTTTATATAGTAAGAAGGTCACCCATCTACTAACTGATATTTGGAAACTACAGCATTACTCCACAACTCATTTGGGAGAGACAAGACAACGGAAACTTGCATGGCTAGAAACAAATCTGTGTTAGATTAAACTGAGGAAAAACAATGTTTGGAATATTATTTATTCAAAATCTTGAAAGCCAATCTAATAACATACATCAATTTTACAAAATGGTCAATATTGAACTATGTGTTACTAAAGCAAATGAAATATATTAAGAAAGTAACATCAGAGGAAGAGTATAAATAGCATTAATAAATATGAATTATCCTATGAAGCAGGGTATACAGCAGCAATGGACTCAAGTGAAAGATGCGTGAAAGAAGGAAGAACAGCCTGGCTATTTGTATCCTAGGCTCCAGACAGACAGCCCTGAACCAGTCAGGCAAGACAAATGATACCAAGTAGCCCTAAAGTATTACTTCAAGCAATACAGGAGCTACAGCAACTGAGGGGAAAGATAACAGCAATTAAATAAACGAAGAAAACAAAATAAAATGTGAAAGAACTTTGAAAATAGTTTGTCACCATACTAATATGATTACCACTGTATAGTTTAATATTACATTATCTTGGGGTGACCTCAGAAAATAAACATAACATCAGAACCAAAGCAGACCCATAAGCAACAACTCTCTCAACACCACCCCTCTCCCAAAGAGGGATGAAAAACCATAGATCAGTCAGCAGTGCTTCTGGCTACTCAATCCAGAAACAACCGTGAAAAGTGTTAGTCGCTCAGTCCCACTCTTTGCAACCCCAGCGACTGTAGCCTGCCAGGCTGCTCTGTCCACGGAATTCTCCAGGCAAGAATACTGGGGTGGGTTGCCATTCCCTTCTCCAGGGAATCTTCCCTACCCAGAGATGGAACCTGGATCTCCCACATTGCAGGCGGATTCTTTACTGTCCGAGCCACAGGAGAGCCCCTAGAAAAAACCGTAGTTCAGGGTCAATTCAAATGTTAATCAGAGCTCCCACTACGCCAGATTCTACAACAGGAGGTGAGTTACAGAGAAGACTAATACCCTGGGAAGTTCATTCTCTAAAGCTTTACACATAAGTGCTCCATCACCCCCAAACACTAATTAAGATGACATCCTTTCTTTGTCAGGAGAAGCCCCAGATAAATTGTAGTGAACCCGAAAGGTTTTGGGAAATGGAGCCAGATGCTGGGTTAAGAGAATGTCAAATTTTAGTTTTTAATTAATATACAATTTGACAATGTTTTAAAAAAAATTATTATAGGTGAATAAGACTTCACAACTGTATGTACTTTACCAAAATTTTAGCATATTTCAAAATTTCTTTTCAGAGCCTTGTATTACAAACCAAGGCAAATAAGATCCACTTTCATCAAAACGTCTCCAACTTGCTATACTTCCTCAAGTTTTGTCTTTCACTGTGCTCTTTCATATTCTGAACAAGGTGACACGTTAGGACTCTCTTTCTCTTTGCAAAACAAGACTCATTACATTACTGTGCATGCTGTCTTATTACCTCCCTTAACGTGGTCTTAGCCCCATATTAATTATAACTTTCAACCAATTTAATAACTTCTGTTTCACAGGGGACGCTGGAAGTAGATTATTGAGAGCTGTTACATGCAAGCATTTCAGCAGGTGAATAAAACTCATAAGTTCACATAACACAACTGTCTACAGCCACATACATTCCTTTCACACCTTCTGAAAGTGGCAAAAATAAATGCATACATTAACACAACTCAAAAGGATAGCCATTCTGTCACATATAAAAGAAAAAATATATGAACTTAAAATTATGCTTTTATTAATCAATGTTTTAGAATTCAATTTTTTAAAAATCTAGTTACCAAATGATTAATCAGTAATTAATTTAATATTATCTCAGGGTTTTAAGGATTTTTGTATTATATTTAAACTTACAAAGTACAAAACATAATTTCTATGGATGTAAAAAATTTGTCTTAATAACTTTAGTGAACACAAATTAACATTTTTCATAAACTTAAATATTTTCTAGCAATACTATTAGCTTAGTTAATGAGTAAATCAATGTAAGTAGTTTAAGAAGCTCAGATTAGCTGATCTCTTCCTGAGAAAACAAATCTAATGCCTTTTTGAAAATGTGTTTGTATTTATTTACTTAACATTGCTAAATCAGAGAAGAGACACAAATGCTTTTTTTTCCTTAAACCAAAATTATTAATCCAGGCTGATTTCTCCAAAGACTCACCGTAATTATATAAACTTGGGTTCTTCAAATGTTTCTAAGCTAGTACTTTTTTTTTAAGCTTAGCACACCTAAAGCTTTAGAAATTCTATTTCTTTTTAATTTGGGGGATTTATGCAAGTGCATATGTTTGTCTATAGACCAATTAGATCCAAGTTCCTTTAATTTAAAGGGCTTTAGGATGGAATTTTTCAATATCCTACAGAATAGGAAAACATTTTACATTTACTCAGCAAAATATAAAGGCTGTTGTAAATTATAGACACAGACACATAGAGAACTAACAGCTTCAGTTTTACAAACTGATCCCCAGGGTGAAACTAAACAAAGAAACACAAAAGTTCACCAGTTTAGATGTCAAAAAGCTGTTCATCCCAGTTGGTGTACAACATTCTTAATTAATTTGAGCTCACAAAGGACAAATGAAAAGACTAAAAACCTGGATTCTTTGTTTTCTCACTTCTAATAGAGACTAGATCTCCATCAACCAAAAATTATCACCAAATGTGTACATATGTGATCAGTCACTTGAGCCACGTTTGACTCTTTGCAACCCTATGAACTGTAGCCCATCAGACTCCTCTGTCCATTGGATTTTCCAGGCAAGAATACTGGAGTGGGTTTCCATGCCCTTCTCCAGGGCATCTTCCTGATCCAGGGATCAAACTCCGGTCTCCTGCATTGCAGGCAGGTNAGGATGAGATGGTTGGATGGCATCACCGACTCAATGGACATGAGTTTGAACAAACTCTGGGAGTTGGTGATGGATAGGGAAGCCTGGTGTGCTGCAGTCCATGGGGCTGCAAAGAGTTGGACAGGATTGAGTGACTGAACTGACTGAGACATATATTAATTTAAAAAATTAGGATAGGATTGCAGAGTTAGATGCAAAACTAATTAATATCTTGAAGAACACTAAATCACAGTTTGTGGAGTTATCTGTTCTATCAGGTAGAAATTATTTTCATATCTACCAAAAATCTACCAGTTACACCCCTCCACCACTAACAGAATATAAATGAGCCCAGTCAATAAAAAGTCAAACCTAGAAAAGCTACGAAAGAACACCTAAGTAATCTCTTGCCTATTTCCAAGTTTAGGATAACTTTTCTCATAGAGGTGAGATATTGCAAATATTGCACAGGACATACTAAAATTTCATTCATTTATCTGAAATTCGTATTTAACAGAGAATCCTGCATTATCTTTTAACCCTAACAACAAACTAACATTAACTTTACCAAGTCTGTACAGGGTCATTACCAACAGTGTATCTCTTAAATCTGTGTCTGGCTTCCATATTTTTGCCTAGATAATAAATACTGAGTGGTATTTCTACTGAACTTTTATTCTTTATATTCACCACTAGGGGGCGCATATAATTTACAGTCTACTAGATGCCACAGGGTAAACAGCGCTTCAACATCCCATCCGCTAGGGTCCCTTCAGGACCCTAATCACTTGTGCGCACGCGCGCAAGTACTCCTGGCCCATATCCGGACTGCGCAGGCGTTCCAGTGAGCACGCGGACGCCATTGACAGGACTCACCGGAAATTGAAAGGGAGGGGCTGGGGCCGCTGGGAGCGCGGACGCGCCAGGGCGACGGACGCGGAAGTGCGGGAGTGCCGCCCGGTCTCGCGCCCTGCGTGGTTGCTTCTCCGCGGAGATGCCCAGCCGAGGTGAGCGACCCGAGGACGGCGCTGGGCTCGTCCCTGCTGAGAGCTCGACCCTGCACAAGGAGGAGCTCAGCAGCAAGGTGAGCACGGGGCGAGGTAACAGGGCCCTCGGGCTGCTCCCCGCCGGAGACGAGTAGCGGTGGCCCCGCGGTCTAGTCTCGACTTTGCCCTGCTGCGCCAGGTACGGTGAAAGGGACACCTTGAAACTTGCCCCGAGGTCAGACCCAGATGGTAGTAAGGCGGAAGTTTAGTTGGTTCTGGTTTTTTTATTACCAATTTTTAACATTTTAAAAAGTATCATACCGTAAAATTTGGCTCTTTCGTTTTCTCTGTATTTAACGCGTGTATAAATTTGTGTGACCACCACCATAATTGGAATATAGACAAGTTCCACGACCCTAAAAGACTCCCTTTATAGCCATGCTTTCCCGCGCGCAGAAGCTCCGGCCGTCCCTGATCTGCTCTACATCAGGACAGTTTTATACTTCCCAGCACATCATGTAGATGAAATCACAGCTTATGCCTCTCTCCCGCTTAATGTCTTTGAGATTCATGGTTGGATTTTTTTCCTATGTACTCTTAGTTAAAACTTTTAGAAATTACCACCCACCCTAGATCGGCTGCCTGTAGTCTCAGAAAATGTCAGCACCATCCATGCAGTTGTCCATGCCAGTAACCTGGGAGCCCATCTTTGCATCCATCACGAAGTTCTATCAGTTTCACTTTTGAGGCCTCTTTGTAAGGTGTCCCGTTATCACTGTGTACACTTTTAACCATCTTAAACCCGCCCCTTGCATCTGCCATAGGGAACCCTGCAAAAATTTCGCAGCTGGTCTCTCCTTATCCATTGTTACCTTCTTCCCGTCTGCATAGATGGGACCTATTTAGGTCATAGGTCATTTAGCTGGACCTATGCTCCTAAAAATGTTATTTCATTGTTGCTCTTTTGTTCCTCCCCCCACAAAAGGGAGCCAATATAACGCCATAAATGGAAAAAAGAAAAAAAAATTTTTTTATTTGAAATGAGGATGGCTATAATCTTTCAGGTAATAGATGTCTGAGGTAATACTTTGGTTCTGTCCCAAACTGACGCTGGCATCTTGGGCACATCTCTGATTCCTCTGTTACAATTTCCTTGTCTGAAGTATTAAAGTATACCTGCCATTCCTAAAATGAATGGGAAAGTGCTGTTCGAGGCCTTCAAAGGAAGTTGTACAAATTCAGTCTTGGAATTCAACCCAATCTCTGTCATCAGTCACTACAGTGACTGGCAGCTGGAAAGCAGAAGGGTACACATCTGGTGGGAATGAATTTTCAAACTGCGCACAGCCTGCTCTGATTACTGTCATAGCATGCCACTTACACTTACATATAACAGATCCCCCAGGCGTCAGAGGTTACAAAATAAGGCTGTTAGAGGCTCTAGTGACATTATGTAATCAGCCATGTTGGCAGATCACTATCATTACTGAAAAGAGTTTAAAAGAAATTTAGTTTCCATTTAGTTGAGCCCTCTTCTACTTAAAAAAGGTGAGACCTAGTTCAAGAGTGCCCGCCCTGTGCTAGCTTTTGAGATACAAAGAGGAATCAAGCAAAGATGGAAAAGTGATGAGTCATACTACTCCTGGTGGCTCAGACCATAAAGAGTCTGCCTGCAATGCCAGAGACGTGGGTTCAATCCCTGGGTGGAGAAGATCCCCTGGAGAGTGGAGTGGCAACCCACTCCAGTATTCTTGCTTGGAGAATCCCATGGACGGAGGAGACTGGTAGTCCACACGGTCGAAGAGTCAGACATGACTGAACGACTAATACTTACTTACCACGCATGTAGGATACTTAACTACTACTTGCTTAGTCTGTCTGGCTATACCATTTTGTATGTAAATCATGAAAAGCATGGCTATTGGGAGGGAAAGGTCACCCACTCCTCATTCCATTTGTTTTTTTTTTTTTTTTTTGTTTTTAATTTAAGATACAATTAAACCATTGAAAAAGTGGTATTTCAGGTCTTGGTGAATTTTTTTTTTTACATAATCTCTATCTTAAATAAAAGATAAAAACTTTGTTTAGTAACTGTAGTTCTTGCCTGAATATGAGTGTTGGTTGCCAACCCCCTGTCTGGGTATAAAGGGCCATCTAACACTTTATGTCTAATCACTTTTCCCCTCAACTTTCTGCCACCTGCATGTCCACACAGACTGCTGTTGTAAAGAGTCTGTATATTCCCAAATTGCCCATTTGGACAATCAATGCTTAGAGCCCCTTATCCTATCTCTTTAAAAGGCTCTTATTGAGCATACATTGATCATCTCTGATTTAATAAGTTTTCTTTATTTCAATAGATTAAAGAACAAAAAGTAGTTGTGGATGAACTTTCTAACCTGAAGAAGAACAGGGTGAGTTATTAGATTTACTCTGAATACTGTGTGGGAGGGTTTGATATCAGTTGTGTAAATCTGTGTATTAATCATAGTTGCTAATAGTGTTTCCCCAACATATGCAATTGACATTACCTGTGAATCAAATGATACTAATTGTACTATGTTATCCTGGAGCTGTAGTCAATAGTGGTATTTATTTTGTACTTGAATTTGGTGTATTCTCTTGACATAAATAAACTTTGAATCTATTGAGAAGAGAAGAAGCTATACAGGTGAATGTGGATAATTATTTTTTGTTTGTTCATTTTTTAAAAAAGACAAATGCTACTGCTTCCTCACCCCACCTCCTCCTTTACTCCAAGCTTCCAAATCTTTAACATGGTTATTTAACTCCATTTTCATGAACATATTCATAAATAAGCAAATTTCTGCTTAGTGGGTCATTGTACTGCCAAACATTGTATTTTAAAGTTAAGAAATGACTTGAGCCCTCTAAAACTTTTGAAGATTACTGTATAACAGACAGGTTAGACATTTCTCATATGTGGAGTAATAGCAGTTAAGGTACAGTTGATAACAAACTTGTATAAAACAAATTGGCAAAATGTATCAAAGTCTTAAAGCTGTGTACTATTATGATCCAGCAGATCTAGTTTGATTCCTATTTATAGGAATTGATACATTAGGAAAGTATCATGGAGTGCACGGAAATTTAGTTACAAAGACATTCATCACAAGTTTGATTTATAATAGTGAAAAGTTGGCAACATCTAAATGACCAAATAAACTATATTATTGAAGAAAAATGGTATTAAGTATGTTCAGAGAAAAAAAAAGTTTTGCCTCAGTGTTAATGGTAGCAGTTTCTAGATTGTTGGATAATGGGTGAGTTCTTTGTTTATCTTTATCTGCTGAGGTATTGTTCTGAACATGCTACTAATGTTCAATAGTAAGCAGTTAACAGGGTTCAGAGTTTTGACATCTACCTTTTAGATCAAACCATGATATTAGCCTCACTTATGTTTTGCAGAAAGTATATAGGCAGCAACAGAACAGCAACATATTCTTTCTTGCAGAGCGAACAGAAATGCTTTCTGAAAGCAAAAGTAAGTTTTTTTGGTACATTATACAGAAACAAAAAGAAATTCTTTTGTGGGCTTTCTGTGGAAATTCATGATGGTGCCTCAATTACACTGTCTACAGCTGAATGTATAAATATGTATATCTAAAGATTGGATGGTGGTATACCAGTTAATAAAATTAGTGGAATGGTTTGGTTTTCTTCAAGTTAGCCTTCCAATGGTGAGTTAACAGTAACAATAAAATCAAATTTAAGAACTATAAGATGTGTTAGAAAGCCACAAGAATTAATGTAAGCTTTAGAATTTTAGACAGATATAGGTATGAAATATTATTCTGCCAATTTCTGCCTTTTTGATTTTGAGTGAATCACTTTGAGCCTGCAAAGTCTTACAGAATTTAAATAAAATGATATGTATATAAACTGTGCAGAGCTCAATGCCTGGGTCAAAATAAGCATTTAACAACAGAAACTAGATCCCTAAATAATAAATATTCTTCATCAGAAATCTGTTGTAAATTATTATTTAAACTAGCACAGTACATATGTGGTTCAGTCTTGGAAAATAGCTTGTTTTGCCTGTTGAATTACCAGGTAAAGCTTCAAGAATTTTTATTCTTTACTGTGTCTTCTCCCCTCTCCCACAGATATATTGGATGAGCTGAGGAAAGAATATCAAGAAATAGAAAACTCAGAGAAAACCAAAATCAAGAAATAGCCAACTTGATTTTACACAGCAATGTGTGGCATTTGTTGTGCAGTAAGCTTTTCTGCTGAGCATTTTAGCAAAGATTTGAAAGAGGATTTACTGTGTAATCTTAAACGACGGGGGCCCAATAGTAGTAAACAGTTGTTAAGGTCCAGTGTTAACTACCAGTGTTTATTCTCTGGCCATGTCCTTCACTTAAGAGGTGTGCTGACTGCCCAGCCTGTGGAAGATGAAAGAGGCAATGTATTTCTGTGGAATGGAGAAGTCTTTAGTGGGATCAAGGTTGAAGCCGAAGAGAATGATACTCAAATCATGTTTCATTATCTTTCCTCTTGTAAGAATGAATCTGATATTTTGTCACTCTTTTCAAAAGTCCAGGGTCCTTGGGCTTTTATATATTATCAAGCATCTAGCCATTCTTTATGGTTTGGTAGGGACTTTTTTGGTCGTCGTAGCTTGCTTTGGCATTTTAGTAACTTGGGCAAGAGTTTCTGCCTCTCTTCAGTTGGCACCCAAGCATCTGGAGTGGCTGATCAGTGGCAGGAAGTTCCAGCATCTGGAATTTTCAGAATTGATCTCAAGTCTGTTTCCATTTCCCAATCTGTTGTTTTAAAGTTGTATCCTTGGAAATACAATTCTGGGGGGGATGATATCAGAGAATGTGTTAATAGCCTGACTGAGATTTCAGCAGCCTTGCCAACATTTGTCTTGGTGGCAGCAAATGAAGCCAAACTGTATCTTAAAGAACCTGTTGTCCCTTTAAATATGACGTTGCCACAAGCTGCATTTGAGACCCATTGCAGCAGCATTTCCAGGAGTCCGCTGACAAGAGCGACCCTTCAGGTCTTCCTTACTGATGGACACACGAAGGAAGTAGTTCAGCAGTTCATTGATGTCCTGAGTATCGCAGTCAAGAGACGTGTCTTGTGTTTACCTAGGGATGAAAAGCTGACTCCAGGCGAAGTTTTGAAAACTAGTAATAGGAAAGCAAATGTTGCAGTTTTGTTTTCTGGAGGGATTGATTCCATGGTCATCGCGACGCTTGCTGACCATCATATTCCTTTAGATGAACCAATTGATCTTCTCAATGTGGCTTTCATGACTAAAGAAAAGACCATACCAGTTAATTTTAACAAAAAAGGGAGAAAACAGAAAAATCATTGTGCAATGCCCTCTGAGGAATTCTCCAGAAGCTCTGCTGCTGCTGCCGCCGCCAGCCCTGGGAAACAGTTCAGTGTACCAGATCGAGTCACAGGAAGGGCGGGACTGAAGGAACTGCAAGCTGCCAGCCCTTCTCGGATTTGGAATTTTGTTGAAATTAATGTTTCTCTTGAAGAACTGCAAAGATTAAGAAGAACTCGAATATCGCAGTTAATCCAGCCCTTGGATACAGTCCTGGATGATAGCATTGGCTGTGCAGTCTGGTTTGCTTCCCGAGGAGCTGGTTGGTTAGTGACCCAGGATGGAGCACGGCCGTATCACAGCCGTGCAAAGGTACGACACGGCGGCTTAGGATTTCTGGGGCCTAATTTTGACCCTTAAAGCTTTTAATGCTTAAGTTGCAAGGATATAGTGTCTTTTAATTGCATTTAAACTACAACACAAAGTATATGACTTTGTAAAAATTGGGCATATTTTATTATCTTATGACTTTGCCTTGTGGATTTTTTCTGAAAATGTTATCTTTGGGATTATTATTTTTTTTAAGCTTTATTTTCCTCACTGCATAGTAGGTGATATTCTGATGTAGATTTCTTTCAACCTTTGTAGGTGGTTCTCACTGGAATGGGTGCAGATGAGCAGCTTGCGGGTTATTCTCGTCATCGGGCCCGCTTCCTGACACATGGGCTGGAAGGACTGAATGAGGAAATCGCAATGGAGCTGGGTCGAATTTCTTCTAGAAATCTTGGTCGTGATGATAGAATTATCAGTGATCATGGAAAAGAAGCAAGGTAATTCTTGTTGTCTTTTGGAGGGTTGTTTGATGTTTTTGTCAAAGCAGTAGACTGAACCTAAAAAGGAGACTTTTAGGTTCCTTTTTCTTTGGATACTTGCTCAAATGAGTAACGGTAGCAGCAGTATCTTGGCTTTGTATTACAGCTAGTCAGAAGCATGCTGGAGAGGAACCAGAGGAACAGTTTTTCCAGAACTCATTCTCCAAGAAATGGCTTTACAGAAATTTTCAAAGGTGATACAGTGATGTGATTAAAGGCTACAGTGAAAGACTATAAAACTCGAGGTAGTGAAATACTGAGGGGAGGTATTTCAAGGGCTCTGTTTTGTTTCAAATGTTTGCTTTCTTCCCAAGCTTCCTGCTCCAATGTGACAGAGCCTGACTTTGTAGACATTTCTTGTATGTACAGGCATACTTGGAAATCCTGCATGCTTACTTCCAGACCATTGCAACAAAGAAAGTCAAATGAATTTTTTGGTTTTCCAGTGCATACAAAAACTATCTTTATACTGTGCTGTAGTCTATTAAGTATGCAGCAGCATACTTTTATTATGCTGTATTTAGATGTAAATATGTATTTAGTATTTAAAATATGTATGTATGTATTTAGACATAAATAAACATACATTTGTCTAAATATTTATATATATACCTTAATTTAAAAATACAAAAAAAAGAAAAAAATACAAAACAAAAAAATAAAAAACAAAAAGCAGTCTCAGTGATAACATCAAAGATCGTTGATCACATATCACCGTAACAAATATAATCGTTCTTGTTTTTGTTGTTGTTTAGTCGCTAAGTCATGTCCAGCTCTTTCTGCAACCCCATAGTTGCTCACCAGACTCCTCTGTCAGTGGGATTTCTCAGACACCAGTAATGGAGTGGGTTGCCACCATTTCTTCTCCAGGGATCTGCCCGGCCCAGGGATTGAACCCAGGTCTCCTATACTGGCAGGCAGATTCTTTACCACTGAGCCCCAAGGGAAGCCCAACAGATAGAACAAGAAAAATTTGAAATATGGAAGCACTTCCAAAAATGTCACACAGAAACATGAAGTGAGCAAATGCTGTTGGGAAAATGCCACCATTGATAGACTTTGCCTGTCACAGGTTGCCACAAACTTTTAGTTGGTTAAGAAAAAAAAAAGCAGTCTCAGTGAAGCAGAGTAAAACAAGGTACGCCTATGTAGACCCATACTGAGTCAGACGGTGGCTCCAGCGCTGAAGTCCCCTCTGTCATAGGTGCTTTGAACACAATTTAGTCATACATTCCAAATTATCGTAATAGTTTCAGAGATCAAGGCACTTACATGTGTATATTCTTTTTTAATCCTAGGGGTTTGTGTTTACCTACAGCATATTTCTGATAATAGTAAACAAATGCTTGAATACAACTTTTTGAAGCATTAAAGAAAAAGATGTGTCATTTAATTATAAAAAGTAGAACTTTGTTCAAGTAGGTTAATTTATTAAGTGGTAGTTTTATTGCAGGGGTGCAAGCATGCAAGGAGTCCAGATGAGCTTTGTGGGAGTTGGAGCATCATAATATACCAGCTCTGAGACTTCATTATTTTCTTGTCTCTAGTTTGTTATGCCTATGTTGCCAGTTCTGACATGTAAAATTAACGTAATTTTCAAAATCTTACCATAAAGAAATAAGTAACACCACAATACAAAGTGTGTAAAATGTTTTCCTTTTGAAATGTGTCTGTATATGAGAGATTAAAAAATTCAGCCTATTTCAGCTTGGTTAGAGAAAAGGAAATTTATTTTATTCAGTAAAAGCAGTTAATTCTAAAGGACCGCCCTGCCCCCCCCCCCCCCAATATGATACCCAGGGATAAAAATGGATATGAAGAATGTTTAAAACAGCTAGTGCAGAATTGTAATTGAATGAACACCACTATAGTGGCTAGATCTAAACCAGTTTATTAATGGATTTTGGCATACATATTAACCATACTCTATTAATTAGATTCTCATTTAAATTTGCTTTCATGATTCATTTTTATAAAATATTCTGTTTAAAGAATGCCTTTACCCTTTCCGATCTCTCTACTTAAAGTAAAATGTAAAACCCTACTGTAATTGGGGATGGGGGAGAAATTGGAGTATTTTAAACAAAAAAGAACAGAATTTGCTGGGAAATTAGGGGAGCCTAAAGAGCAGAGAGTTGTATTCCTTAAGTTCAGTTTCTTTAGACATGTAAAGAGCAGACACAGTTTGAATGATTAACTCAGGACCATGCTTGTTTTCAAGGCATTCCTGAAGATACCTTATGAAACAATTTGAAATTATTTCTTGACATCATAGGCTTAATTTGTTTATTTATTGAGGGAAAAATTTTTTACATTTTAGTATGTGTATTAAAATTAGACAAGTGTTGTGAAATAATTTTTAATGTGATTACAACTGTAAAGTTGTATAACTAGAATATTTTTAATTTAGAAAAATTGTGCCCTCAATAATTAATTTATACCTTAAATTTTAGCATATTAAATAAAATACAAACAAAATAATCACAAGAGATAACTTTTTTTTAATAGTGGTTGTACTTTCTATTTTAGATTTCCTTTCTTGGATGAAAATGTTGTCTCCTTTCTAAATTCCCTACCAGTCTGGGAAAAGGCAAACTTGACTTTACCCCGTGGAATTGGTGAAAAACTAATTTTGCGTCTTGCAGCAATGGAACTTGGTCTAACAGCCTCTGCTCTTCTGCCAAAGCGGGCCATGCAATTTGGATCCAGAATTGCAAAAATGGAAAAGAATAATGAAAAGGCATCTGATAAATGTGAAAGACTCCAAATCATCTCCTTAGAAAACCTTTCTGTTGAAAACTAGATGTTTCATCATGTAAGAACATTTACTGAATGGTGGTTTTTTTAAAAAATAAAATACTCTGCTTTATTATTGCATAATGTGGTTTTAAAGTTCATTACATGAATTTTTATGTAACTTTGTAGAGTAGTGCAACCAATTTAATCAAATTGATACTCCAGAGAAAGAAATTACACTTGGAAGAACAACCTGGATATTTTAAATTGTGATATTAATATTGTTTTGAACTCTTACATGGTTATGTCCCACCAGCAACAGTGACAAAAGGCAGCTTTTATGGACTCTCTTCATGGTAGCTACATCCAGAAGTACTAGTAACTCAATTTGTTATCATTGTTATTTAACAGACGAGAGAACTAAGGTTTTTGAGGTTCACACTCCTGATTGATATGTGGTACATCTCTTCAGACAGCTCATTGACCTGCTCTGAGAACTTTGGAAGACTATTTTGAATATTCTCCTGTCCCACAAATCTCTGACGTCCCTCTGTTTTCCCATTGTCAGCTCGTGACCTGGGCTTTTCACAGAGAAATCAAAATGAAGCCAAGAACTACTTGATTTTCCAACACCAAAAGTCCTAACTTAACCTGTGTGTGCACCCATCCTTTTCTCCCTTCTTGCTATTAGAAAGAGAAATGTATTTAAAATGTTCTAGTATATACCAATTTAAAATGCATACCCCTGGTCCTATACCTTCCATCTCTTGGCTCCCATCCACCTTCACCCTTTCAACCTTTTCACATATCTGCTGAACTTCACTCCAACCGGACATCCACCCACAGTACGCATCCGTGACCATGATACCAAGGTCACATTTGGCATCCATCCCCATTTAGGGCTGACATCCTTTCTAAGTCTGGACATACTGTGATTCTCCTAATTATAGTGGAAAAGAAAGGTTAGGATATTAGCAGGCATGTATCAGGGCTTTCCAGCTGGCTCTAGTGGTAAAGAACCTGGCCTGCCAATGCAGGAGACATAAGAGACGTGAGTTCGATCCCTTGTCATGAAGAGCCCCTGGAGGAGGGCATGGCAACCCACTCCAGTATTCTTGCCTGGAGAATCCCATGCACAGAGGAGCCTGGTGGGCTACAGTCCATACGGTTGCACAGAGTTGGACACAACTGAGGCAACTTAGCACAAGCATGTGTCAAAAGACTTTCACATGCCCTGAATTGAATTTCTTGTCAAGTGCAGTGTTCAAACCAGATTGAGATATTACCTGAATAGCTTTCAACTGGATGACTTCGTGGTCCTGAGCACTAAATTGATGCTCCTAATGGGAGTAGAAAAACTTGAGGTTTGCCCTGCAGCCTAGAGTTGAATAGTAATGATTTTTATAACAACAATATAGTTCAGTACTAAAAACATGCCAGAAACTAGTCTGAATTTTACATGTATTATTTTAATCAACTGAATCGCTAAAGGAGATCTCTAGTTCACTTGTTCTGGCAGGATACTCTGTGTGCATGTTTTTTGTTTTTTTTGGTTTTTGTTCCGTTCCCAGAGGGCTTGATTTTTTTCAACTTTTTTGATACTTAATCCCATAAACTGGAATGAAATTCTATGTTAATCCTCCAAACAAAGCAAAAATCTTTCCCAAGATCCCACATAAAACAAACCATCTGGGTACCTGAACAAAACGTTTTAGGTAGAGAAATTTACATTACTCATATGTCATAAGTGCAAACACACAACTACAGAAAACAGTGATTTGACATCCCTTGCCCTGGGAAAGCAGTAACAAATATACTAATACTATCACCACAGCAGCTGAAATAATGACATTGTTGGACTAAGAGAAATTCTACCTTCAAACAGTTAACCAAAACCCTGCTGCTACTGCTGCTGCTAAGTCGCTTCAGTCGTGTCCGACTGTGCAACCCCCATAGGTGGCAGCCCACCAGGCTCCTCTGTCCCTGGGGTTCTCCAGGCAAGAACACTGGAGTGGGTTGCCATTTCCTTCTCCAACCAAAACCCTCTCTGTTGCTAAATTCAGTGAAAAGTTGGGTTCTCATCTCCACCTAGAGCAGCATCCAGTGAGGTTGGCCAGTCTCTTCTCCTGGCTTCTATGACCAGACTTGGCTTTCTGCTCTCCTGACTCCTAGCTGTTTGTATTCTTTCCTGCCTCCACCCTCTCCACATGACCTTTAAATAATTAAATATCTCAGGTCTCCATCCTGGGTTCTCAATTCTCTGTTCTCTTTCATGGTGATTCCAGCCATTTCCCTGGCCTCTTTTACCCTAAGCCACCCCAAATGTATTCCTCTAACCCAAGCTGCTGCTCTTAACTCAGACCTTTGTATCTAAGGCACATCTGACATCTCTGCTTGGTTCTCTCACAGGTAAAACTGAACTCTTTAATCTTGCCCTGATCCTGCATGTCTGACAAACTTGGGCGTCACTACATGACCACCTTCTTTTTAAACTCTCCCACTCCTCAATCTGTTATCAATCAGAGATCCTTACTTCTCAAACGCCCCTACTCAAGCCTGTACCTACCCTCTGAGCCACAAATCTAGCCCAAACTCTTGGGATAAAGTTCAAAAACTTTAAACAGCCTGTGTAGTCCAGCCCTCACTTACCTCCACATCATATTTTTGTGTCCACATGTTTCTTGTTCTCCATGCAGAGTTTTGTTCCATTGCTCAAAAATTCAACTTTCTTCTCAGCTCAGTTGTCCATCACCTGTTGTTCCCTATCCCCGGAAAGCTACTTCAGCTCTCTGCTTGGATACATCTTTATCAGGCTTAGCTTAAAAGATCACTTCCTCAGGGAAGCCATTCCCAGCCCTGGTTTTAGTTAGCACCCCTTCATGTGCTGTTATTACATCATACACTCATGGCATTGTTTAAATACAGCTGTGTGCTTTTTGGAGGGACTAACCTTGGGGCTTTGCGTCTGCCTGTTCCAGGGTCTCCAGTGCCTAGCTCATAACCAGCATTCTGAAAGTGTTTATTGAAGGAACGAATGACGTTAGAGGAAGGATTCCAATTCAGGACCACCTCAGAGCCCGGCGCCTTGCCAACGCCACCTCTGCCTCTGTGCTTCCTCGGAGACAAATTGCCAAAGTAAGAACTGATAGAGATGGTGGCTCAGCTGGTGAAGAACCCACCTGCAATGCAGGAGACCCAGGTTAGATTCCTAGGTCGGGAAAATCCCCTGGAGAAGGAATAGGCTACCCACTCCAGTATTCCTGGGCTTCCCTGGTGGCTCAGATGGTAAAGGATCTACCTGCAATGAGGAAGATCTGGGTTCAGTCCCTGGGTTGGGAAGATCCCTTGGAGGAGGGCATGGCAACCCACTCCACTATTCTTGCCTAGAGAATTCCATGGACAGAGGAGCCTGGCAGGCTACAGTCCATGGGTCACAAAGAGTTGGACACGACTCAGCAACGGAACTGAACTGGACTTCAGCTCTGAGCACCATGCTGTGTGTTATGCGTTCAGTCGCTCAGTCCTGTCTGGACTGCGACACGCCAGGCTTCCCTGTCCATCACCAACTCCTGGAACTTGCTCAAACTCATGTCCGTTGAATCAGTGATGCCATCCAACCATCTCATCCTCTGTTGTCTCCTTCTCCTCCTCCCTTCAGTCTTTCCCAGTATCAGGGTATTTTTCAATGAGTCAGCTCTTCACATCAGGTGGCCAAATTATTGGAGCTTCAGCTTCAGTCCTTTCAATGAATATTCAGGACTGATTTCCTTTAGTATTGACTGGTTGGATCTCCTTGCAATCCAAGGGACTCTCCAACACCACAGTTAAAAAGCATCAATTCTTTGGTGCTCAACTTTCCTTATTCTTCCAACTCTCACATCCATACATGACTACTAGAAAAACCATAGCTTTGACTAGATGGATCTTTGTTGGCAAAGTAATGTCTCTGCTTTTTAGTATGCTGTCTAGGTTTGTCATAGCTTTCTTCCAAGGAGCAAGCATCTTTTAATTTCATGGCTGCAGTCACCATCTGTAGTGATTTTGGAGCCCAAGAAAATAAAGTCTGTCACTGTTTCCAGTTTCCCCCCTACTATTTGCCATGAAGTGATGG